AGCCTTAATCTATCGAAAGAGATATATCCTGTTTGTAATTTCAATATTTATTGGTTTAATTTTCAAGCCCAATAGCATTTTAATATATACCACTTCATATTGATAAAGTTTTAATATTTGTAAGTTTATTTAGCACCACTCCTTTCAAAAAATAAGTTTATTTTAATATATATCACTTCATATTGATCAAGTTTTAATATTTTATGAACTTTAATGTATCTTAGAAAATTGACTGCTGCTACTGCCTAAAAATTTTAATTCAGCCAGCACTCCAACCTCGTTCTTCAATTGATTGAACACCATTCATTAAAATCAATAAAAGATAATTCTTGAAAGAAGGAACAGTAGGCATAGAGATGCTGAAACCATGTGTGCTAATACACCACAGATACTGGTTTATATAGCCTTTATTAGATTAATTACACATAATTAGAGGACATTTCGTTTCCCCTAGATCAGATATTAGTTCTATAAACTGCAAAACAATAAATGCATAATATTTCATGCTGAATTTCAACAATAATATTTAACACCGAAATCACGCAATACAGAGACAAAACTCTCCTACAGAGAGTATTCTCTATCCAAAAACTGAAAATAACTTCACACACCTGATAACACAACCTACTATCAAATATATACTCCTAATACATAACTACCGCCAGCTATTTTCTACACAAAAATGTCATCCTACAATTTCTAACACAACTAACTATATTTTCTAATACAGAATTGATTCCTAAAGCACTTATTTTCTACACATAAATTCCTTTACTCTCCCAGACTATCAGTTCCTATCATCAATCAATTCAAAGTCTTACTTAGATCATAATCCCTTTAGTCATGAAAATGTAAATTACTTTTTCATCCCTGTTAAAAGAAACCAATGTTAAGTTGAACCTTTCAAGCATAAAAATATATAATATCAACTACTTTCAATTATCAAATGCATAAGAATACCTAATATCACTACCCTCTTAAATATATAATATCAACTACTTTCAAATTTTCTCCTAATCTATGCAAATGTCTAATCATGAATAAGCAGCAAATTTTCGTTCCTGGCCTTAGAAAACACAAATTTATAAATATTTAACAATTATAGATTGAAAGAAAATCTTATTTACCTGAATCTCCAAAGGATGCCCATGAATTCCCATCCTCCGATCTATCATACAAGAACCATCCGTTACTAATAAGGTTGGGAACATATCAAAGCCATCAGCAAGACACAACCTCAAAATCATCTTAATTCCTGTTTGCACATCAACTCGCTCCTGAACTGATCGATCACCAGAACATTTTCCGTATGCTCGTAATAAGATAATCCACCATAATCCTGAAGTCACATGTGAAATATGTTAAGCAAACCAAGAAGAATTATTATAGTAACCTTCCTCTGCAATGTAAAAACAGATATTTCTGTCTTTTTATTATTTATTTTACCAGAATCAACTGGAGCAACACGCCCAATGGCTGCCTCTCCAAAGTCAGGATCCAACACCTCTTCTGTTGCCGAATCATCACCATCTAGAGGAACTGTCCGGACCTTAAAACTTGCAGGCATCAAACCTTGTCCTGGACTATGACAATCCATTGTTTTCTCCCAGCTCTGAAATATGATGTGTAGGTTTTAAACAGTATGGAAACAACAAAGTACATCTTAACAATAATTTAAGGACTCCCCTCTCCCCCAAATATTTGTTTCCTCCCTTTCATTACTTAAAATACAGTTAGGGCAAAACTAGTGCTAACAAGAATATATTACTGATGAAAGGTATTATTTAATGCCCTTTTCATCAATTATGTGCAGCAGATGGGACCTGTGGTATTCTATACGAGAGAATTCACATCAATATTAACTGTCAAACACAAGCCTTTTCAGCATTTTTCTTAAAAGTAAATCAATATTTTACTTTATTCACCAAAGTAGTTACAGGCCAATGGCAAAAACAGATAGAGTTAGATTTGTAGGATTAAAAACAGTAATGATTGCTGAAATAAGAATAACTCTGTGAAGTAAGAACACAGATTGGAATTGCATAACTCTGGAATAACAAATTAAAAATGAAAATTCGTCTCTAAGGCATGTACACGACCAAGTTGTATCAAATTTTCCTTTTACCAGCACATGTTATGTGTTAAAAGACCAAGATTCCAAGACATTACCTGCAACTGAAGTGTATAAAGGATAAAATTCCGAACAATATCATACTCCCCCTTCAATAGGAAGGCCATTCCAGAAGGAATGAAATCACGAATAAAGACCTGGTCATAATTCAAAATATTAGAACTAGTTGGGTCCTTTGCAGCAATAGTTCCAATAGGATTGCCACAATAGTAAACTACAGACTCCCTTAGTAAGTCCCATGCCTCTTCCTCAATGGAGGTGTCAAAGCTGTCTCTAATAGCTCCATTTGTAACATTAGATGACAAAACCTCTTCCTGTTTCAACTGAGGGTCTTTGACATTCTCAAAATCTAGGATATGCTTTGTACCCATCACATTGCTTGCTGAATTTGATGTTTCTACATCATTCAAAAGTCTTGATACATTTCCATCTCCTGAGGTTATGCCACTCGCACTTTCAGCCCGTTGGCATTTGCATGTCTTTAACCATGGACGACTATAGGTTTTATTGTAGTCATGCAAACTGACACCCATCCACTGAAATTGATAAGTTCTTAATCGACTTTGGAGCATGCTAGAACACACAATTAAAGCCCTGTGCCTTGACAATCTTTTCGTCATACATTTTACTCCAAACCGGGAATGTAATGATAAATCTGAAGAGTTCACACGAGGCTCATTATACCCAGTTTGAGAGACAGCCCTGGACAGAACCTGAAAAACTGCTTTGGAAGTACCCAGGGACATGCTGCTTTATAAAAGTAAATTGTACCAACTTAGAGTTACTTCCTGTTAAGTGCCTTTAGATTACACCTGTGCGAAGAGAAAACTACGTAAATCTGCATAATTGTATGACATAAACGCAGCAATTTCAACTAAATATAGATTCCAAGATAGCACCTTGCAATTTAGAAGAATGGAAGAAATGGTTTATTGTGAAACCATATCTGAAATTTAACTCATTTGCTTCACTAAACCCAGAAACGGTGGGGGAAGAGAAAAAAAGCAAGGATCACAAAACGAATGCTCAATTTGGCATCAGAACAAACAGTTTTTGGAAAGCATAAAATTTGAGAATTACATTCACTTAGCCGAAACAGACCTAAAATCAGCCAATATATTCATATGCACGTAATTCAATAACTAAAACAGAAAAACCAACAAAATTTAATTCTAAGTAATCATTTAACCAGAGTTCAGAGCCCAAACAAATCAGCAGAAAGAACAAATAAGACATAGCAAACCATACCTTAGTTCAATTATCAACAGAAACATGCACAGATGTAAATGACAAACATACATAAATAACAAAAGTAAAAAATACGAAAAGAAAACAAACAATGATCCAAGAAACTACGTGGGTTCCCAGAGAACGAACCTCTCACCAGAGAAGATTGAGAGTGTCGTGGATTTGTAATTAGTGGAACAGAAAACAAATTATGATGAGATTTTTTTTTTTCTTTTCTTTGTTCTTCCTCAGTTATATTTCAGTTTCTTCTTCTTATCTTATACTGTTCCCTTTTGCGCAATTGCAACGATGAGATTTTTTTTTCTCCTTCGCTTTTTTATCGATGACACGTGATACATTCAGACATGACCTCTGCGCCTCCCTAAAGGAAATATGAGAAAAATGGAGATTGTGTGAACCACATAAAAACAAATTGTGTGGCGTGTTTTTATTTTCTGTGACCAATAAAATCTTGTATAGTTTTATTTTAACTTTTTGTATAAATTCATATTAGTTTATGTTTTTTAACATCCCATTAGAAAAAAATGGTAATTCGCACTTAAAAACTTTTTTCAAATGAGAAACTAACGCGACTTTAATACGTCTTTTGGTTTTATCTATTTGTAATTATTGTTAGCATGTATTTTTACAAGATATCTATAAAATAAAATAAATATATCTAAGGATAAAAGTTGTATTATTATTAAATAATGACGATGAAGTTACGTGTTTTAAGAAAAATAAAATAGAAATAATTAAGTTTTATTCTATTAGATAGGAGTATATTAAATAAATATGCCTTTTAAAAGTTGTGAAAAAAATTATAAATGATAAATAAAAGGTTTAGCAGTTTGCATTTTTAGTATAAGATTGTTTTACAGAAGACAATTGAATTCAACTATTTTGCCGTAAAAATTACAAAACATGCATCTAAAATGAGGTTAACCTAACAATCCAACCTTAAAATAAATATAAGTTGTTTTTTAAAATATAAATGTTTGAACTTATTATTTTTAAACATTATTTTAAAAATTAATATCAACCATATTTTATATAATTTTTATTACTGTATAAAACTTTGTAAAATTATAAGCTTTACAACTTATTAGCCTCTACATCTAAAAAATGAATAGCAAACATCCCAACGTCACTTAACAAAAGTAAAGGTTGTCAAGTGACCAAGTTGATTCATTCAAGTTGAAAATGACAATCTGAAAAGTGAGTCAGTTATAATTTGTTTAATTTAAAGTTAAAATAAGTATAACAAAAATAATTGGAAAGATCCAGGCACTAAAATTCCAAAAAGAAAAGGTCAAGTGACCAAGCTGAATATGATAACATGCAAATTGATGATTCAATTATAATTAATTCATTTAAATTTAAAATAAAATATGACAATGTTAAATAAAATAAAATGAACCAACTAACCAAATTGTTTAAACTAATAAGTTAGAATTATCATATTCTTTAAATTAATACAATCCAATGCACACTACTATTCTCAGCTATTTAAGTGTGGTTGAAATTTCATGCTATGGGGTGCTAAATTGCGGGAAGGAAGAGGGAAGAGAGAAAAATAGACCACAAATTGGCACTGATTTTTTAAATGTTTAAAGAGCATAGACAAGCATTAAAGCATACATTAAACCCTATCCAACTCAGTCTTGTGTTTTTCTAACTGAACTTTCAACTCCTTTTTCCATTCCTGAATTAAATTTTCTTGTTTTTTTATCAGCTCATCTTTTATGCTAAGTTCCTCTTCCATCAGAGCGATCTCCTGCATAGAAGATAAGACATAAAGCAGAAGTTTAGAGGACAAATTATAGTCTCCGTGACTGATGGAAAAACATTTTATAGTGCTTTATCATACCTTTCTAAGCATTTCAACTTTTGTTGGCTTATCCTCACGTTGCAGGCTGATAAAATAAAGCTGAAGTTTCTTTGCAGCCTCCATAAAGTCTCTTGCATATCTATCGACATCAACTGAAAAAAAAAATCCAAAACAATGAAAATTTCAGTTGAGTAGTTAGTTAAACTTACCAAGCATTGCAAGATGAGAAAATCATATTGCAAAAATATAGTTTCCAACACGGGACTACAACAAAGACAAGACTTCTCTTCCCACTGTAAGTCCCATGACATAAGTGAATCTAACTAGTCTTGCAACAGCTGTTAAACATTATATTGTCAAGTCATGGTTACACGATCATATTCTACTAACTTCAATAGCTATGTTTACTTAAGGCTAACAAGGTCTAAATAAATGCAAACCTCAACCTATCTTCCCTTCCCTGAATAATGTATGTCACTAGGTTATATACGTAGATTGTACATAGTCAATGGTTCTGACGAGAACAAGGTTAATCACAAACTCAGTTAGCTGCAAAATCATCCATGTGAACATTTTTACCACCCTTCTTTCTTCACTCCCTTCCCCACCTTCCTGCCCTTGATAATCAATATGTGCATCCTTGCACATTGAACAATCTATCAACAACTAAATTGCACATGGGAGAATTATCAAAAGGATGTTCATTCAGCTTCAAATGTCAGGTAAATTATTTTGACAGGTTAACCTAACAGCACAAATTGACAAAAATATCACATGCCATATCATATTCATCCCCTCATCTCATAATAGGTTTTAAGTTAGTAGCATGTGACGACTTGACACAAACAAAAATTACAGTTCCTCCCAATTTGAGGGTATATGTATCGTCGTATCAGATACATAGTGTAACTGAAACTCAACAACTACTTCAGAGTAAAATGACTCGAAAATTTTTTAATAAAAGAATAAATATACAAGTGACAACAATTAATATTTTTCCTTTTATATAAAGAGTACATAATTATGAAAAAGAAAAATTATAAATAATAAATTCAATTGAAAAGGGGGAAAAGGGATATTTTGACCTTCCAAAACTTCTACCATCTATTAGAGACTACTGGTAATATTCAACCAAGCAATTATCTCTACTTAGCACCAAGACAATACAAAGAACAGAGTACAGTCTTCTAGAATAGAAAGGATATTGTACAATCAAAAATCACTTGTGTTACTTCTGCAGGCTCAAGACACCTTTCCTTCACATAATACTCCAAAAAGAACATGTTTTCCCCTTGTTTCAACTCCTCAAAACTTAAGCTGAAGTAGTAGATATATATTTCATTGATCTCCTAAGCCATTTTATTGTTTGTTTAAGCACTATACATGTATGTAGAAAAATCCCTAACTGCAATCCCTAATAACTTAATTGATATAAATCACAATGTCAGGTAATTAAATAAAGTTTCAAAGGCCTTTTAGTGCTGATGGTTGATGCATAGTTATTGATGTCGATTAGCATTGACATCAGCCGGTTTTGAAACCACAGCAAAAATTTGAAAGACTTGCAGCTACTCACTTTGATGTGAAGGGTGGGGAGACCGGTCTATTGCTTGAAGTTCTCTCGCAGGCAAACAGGGAAGCAAAGCAGCCTCCAAAGCCATAACGCACGAAACCATATCATCGTTTGATGGAGGAGAAGATGGCAGTTGTGAATCATCTGTGTGCTGTTGGTCAACTAATTGTCGATCACCCATATTCTTTTTCAGACTGCCAAGGGAGAAAAATAGGATTAACGAAAGTTCCCCCGAAGCCTTACTACATATAATGTTCACGAAATAGCATAAAATGAAGAGTGTTTGACAAGGCTTCGTTTCTCATGCAACAAAATTTAAGAATATATATACTAGAATTTCAAAAAAAAAGTTTCATCGAGAAAAACAGTTTTTACACATAAAATTTCTTTGGTTTCTGTGTGAAAATTTCCCTTGGTTATATACTTAAAACTAACGAGATTAACACATAATTAATAAATAAATATTTTACTGGGTAAAGTTGAGTTCTGAATAACATTATTTCCCAATTTTCCATCCATTCTTTAATAAAGACAAATATCATGTTTCTGAGAAAAACCCACATCGAATGAACAAGAGGAAGAATGCTACTATCAACACGCATCATTGGTGAAAAGAGTCCAATAACAACCAATTCAGTGACAAAAAACGAAGGAAATGAAAGTCGTGAAACTTAATAAACCATCGTAAGATGAATGGCAACGAAACCTATTAAAATTTGAAAAATGTAATTTTAGCAAAATTAAGAGTAACAATGGCAACACTACGAAGGAATGGAGACTAGGAAACTCACGTGGCAGCGACTGAGAAGATGGCGCGCGTGTCTGAACAATGGAGATGAGGAAGAATGAAGAGAATAGATTCGGGATTTCTTATTAGCTTGAAAAACCTAATTTGGCTTCTTCTGGGGAAAACCTAATTATTAAAATTACTTCTTATACAAATAAAATATTTGTTTACTTCTTAACTTCTCAATCTATAGATTAAAATTTATGTTATAAAATGAATTTTCAATTAATAAATTAAAATAATGTTTTTTTCTCATTCGTGATTAATTTGTAAAAACTAATAATTTAATTACGCTAAAAATATATTTTGAAAATTAGTTAAAATTAAACTCTTCTTCAAAATTTATTTGTTTAGAAAATAATATTTTTATTACTCTAACTTTTATTTGCCTTCATCTTTTAACTTTTTCTTTCATATCATTAGATGTTTTATCATCTGGGTTGGATTTAATTTAATCTTATATGACAATCATAAAAAAATAAAAATAAAAAATAGAAAAGTTATAAATTTCGGAGAGGTAGTTAGGTAGGTGTAATCAATTCTAAGATTAAAAATGAGATTTAAAAAAATAATATTTAGAAATTAAAATTGTGAAAATTTTATTTTAATCGAGAAAAGAAATATTTTTTATAATATTGTTTTGTAGAAAAGTTAATGTAATCATATAAAATTATTTTTAAAAAAACATAAATAAATATTAAAAAAATATGTTTTTCAACTTTAAAAAATTTCATTAGCCTATTTTTACTTCTAGTTTTCGACAATGAAATGGTTAGAAAATCAGGAAGTAGTAAGACACAATTTTAGCTTTGTGTGCGCATTTCTATTTACTATTTTTATAGTTTCATATTTTTACAATTATATAAGTTTAACCCAAAATAATTGCAATTATTTTTTTTGTTTGTTTTATTTAAGATTTTTAAATCATATCATAAAATATAGTAAAATTATCATAATATCTTTAATCAAATATTTTTTTAGTTGGAATATGTTTTAAATAAACTATATATATTATAAATTTATTTTTAATTTATTATAAATTAATTTTATTTTTATTTATTTTTTAAATAGTCACTTCATCTTAAATTATATCTTAATTTTAATTTATATTTATTTTTATTAAAAAATATTATAAGAATATTTTGATGATTCATTAATTTGCTTTATTATTTAATTCATTAATTATCTATAATTTTATTTATTTATTTTTCTCCAATTTTAACTTTATTTCTTTCAATTTAAATAATCTTATTTTTTAATATTTTTCTCTTCTTTTCTACTTCATCAAATTCGTCCATCAACCAATTTTTTCATTGAGGAGATTACACTAAGAAAGAAAGAAAGAAAGAGTGAGAAAAAAATCCAAATTATTTTCTTTCTATTTCAAAGGAGGTGAAACCATTCCATGAGTCCTCCCCCACCATACTAACACAAAGCAAGCACAAATATATAATATATTATATGATCTTGAATCTAGTTATTATAAAAGAAAATTGTGTTGTGCCATGCAATAGTAACACCACTTATTTACATAAAATTGTGTCTATATTTACTGATTCGTTTCAGAGGATACTGGTAGTACATTATAGTCTTGTGTCTTAGGAGTAGAATTAATGGGTAAACTGTGACGTTCCTTCCCTTCTGGTTTAGAAGATGCATTGCCATACCATATCATTCCCACTATTGCAATGAGCATGCCCAGAATCACTTGCAAATTCAGACCTTCTTTTCCAAAGAAAACGAATCCTAGTGCCAGTACCAGAATTGTTTTCATGTGGCCAAGCACTTGGAAGGATACGGCTGTGAACCTGCCAATGCAGATGAACTGGCTCAGGTTTGTCCCTACTGCGATGGTGCAAGAGATAATGATCAACAACTGCACAAACATGTAGTAGATGTAGATTAGTTTGATACTAATTTAGTTTCAGAATAATTGCAAACAACATTAACTGTTAATTATTGAAACAATTCTAATAAAGTAGCACTAAAAAGAGAATAAAAGTCAGCTCCAATACCATCATAAAAGATGCGTTTTGTACCTTATTTGTATATTATAATTCAATGAAATATATAGTGTACATGTGATTTTAGGTGATACTAGAAGCAATAGAAAATTACAGGGAATCACAAAACAGAGAGATATGAAAGAATTGTAGTATTTGGTACTGGAGTTTGGCAGTTGAATTAAACACAAGGTATGTTCCAAAAGTCAGTAAAGAATGTAATTAAGTAGCAAGCAGAAAGAGAAGCTTACTGTGGATGTCAAACCATAGTTGTAGGCATCAACTCGTTTGTTTGTCAACCAATAGTCCACAAAGGGACCTACTAGCAGTAAACTTGCGGCCTGTACTGGTGCAGTGTGACCTAACAAGTTAAAGGATCCAAGAGAATACTTCCTCTGAAGAAAATGCACATACTGCACAAAGTAGAAATGCAATATCAGCTCAAAAAATTCTATATCATGAATGCAAAGTAAAGCAGTAAGCATTCAACAAGTGTCATGCACCTGAAAGTCCACATTCACCAATTCTACTATATGATAAAGATTCAACTTTGTTCTACTGCAATGACTCAATTAAGATTCAGGGATGATGTAGTGTTAGTAGTATGTTACTTACATACTGCTGTAGTGCGGTACTCCAAACTGCAACTGCAGCAGCTATGAAACCCTTAGCATTGACGCTCACATCAGTGACAGTACATACAGCTACACCAAGGAGAACTAGAGAAATGCTAAGCTTTGTGTCCCTTGAATATCTCACGTTGTCCAAGATAACTTCCAGGAAACAAGATACCGGAATCATACTCAGCTTAGCAATCTGAAATTTTCATTTCAAAGGAAAGAAACACTGTAAATATCAATATTTTTCACTGGCAGTGTTAAATTTTGATACTTCAAAAAAATTCTAGATGTTACCTGATAGAAACCGACAGAGTTCCACATCAAACTCACATTCATTCCGACTATTGAGAAATTTGCAAATAAGACAAATTTGATAAGATCGGGTAAAGGAAGATGAGAGGTTTGGATATATCCCAACCACTTAAGAAAGATTGTCAGCAACGTTGTTGTGGCAAAATGCAAACCAGTTAACGTTGTAGCTGCATAATAGTATACCATATGCAATGTCAAAACTCATGGGTAGTACGGAACATCAAAAGTAATCTATTACCTGGCATCAGAAGAAACTATAAATCACAGTCTTCTTTTATCAAATAGTAATACAAGAAATTCAAGTGAGTAGCTTGTAGCTTCTGGGAGCTTTTCATGGGTGAAACTTTGTTGTTAAAACTTTTCTAAGACAAAAATATTAAATTCTGTCTACTTTTTAAGTGCTTCTCAAGAAGTTAGATGAGCAAGATTTAGAAAATTGAGATGCTCAAGTTACGTTTTCAACTTACTTGAGAAATCTGCTTCATTTTATCTTCATTATTTTATTTTATTTTCTTCTAAGATGTTGAGAAATTTATCCAAACCAGTTTTAGTTATACAGTATCTGTGAGTCAAGATACAAAAAGTTTGTGAGGACTTCCTATCATAAAATCTGAAAGCATAACATAGATCATACCTTCCCTCATCTTTCCTTTATCACTCTTCTTATCATAAGTAGTATTCTTGTCTACAAACAACACCAGTGATGCCAAGCTTGACCCAAATTCAACTACCACCATATTCCCTTAATATATTAAATACTTTTTTCATATCCTAGGTACAAGTTTATACTGCACGCGATCACTAAAAGACAGGCTCAACGAATGCATTGTAACTAAAAGCAGTGAACTACAGATAAATTAAAACGAATATGGAGAGTAAATTATCTCAGATTGGAGAAAGGTCTAGAAACTCTACCAAAGCTGAAACCATATGTAGCCATGAGAGCTTTATTCACAAGGATTATCCCCACAGATGTCACTATATTGAACATCCACGATGCCACATCAATTGCAGTCTTCCTATCACCCTTGGTTGAAGAAGACATATTCAATGTATCAAAAAATTCGAAATCCAATGGCTTTGTCTGCATGCGAAGACATATCAGAAGCAGCACATAGTCCGATTAAACTCTCTCACTTTACACCTTTTTTTCTTATTTAAAAAAAACAGTTATAAATCTTTTATATATTTCTGTGTTTTCTAGAAATTTGTCCCATAAACACTTAAACAGAACATCCAAATAAGAGAATGAGAAAGTATTTTCAAATTGTCCTGTTTTTTGGCGTTGAAAACACTTATTTCGAAAACAAATTTTCAAACTTTATAGAATTGATACCCAATTGTGATTGCTGAAATTTGTCAAACCAATTGTATGAAAAAAAAAAAACACATCTGGCTCAAGGAGTCTTAGCATGTAAAACCAGCAAAGAGAGAGAAAGAATGAAAAAGCTGATGGAGATTGCTTTGTGTAGTACTTACCACAATGGCAGGTTCCTGACCAGTGAGGTCAAGAAACTCCTGTGAAAAACAAAAAGATTTTGATGCTCAAATAAATAGCTTAAAGTAATAAAAATTAAATCTAATGTGAAAACGATTTTTCAAGATAGAAAAGATATGATATTTTGAAGGCAGCAAACAACAAAAGAGTTGAGTTCCGAGGAACAGAATCATGAAACTGCAATAATTTCCAACAGAAAACTAATAATAATAGTGACAATCCTAATAACTTGAACAAGAAGTTACTCTAAACCGAATTCAAAACATCAGTTATGAAGAAGTAAACCATAGGAACAGTACCAGGAACGTTGGTTCTTCTTTAATTGAAAGAAGACACCAAAACGACGACGTAGGTGGTGAGAGGAGGTTATGGGAGAAGATAAGTTATATAGAGAGAAAAACAAGGTTTGGTTCGGTTCGGTTCGGTTCTGTTCGGTGTTTTTGTACTTTTTTCTTCTCTTCACTCTTTCTTTCTACTCTGGTTCTTAAAATATGATTCTGGCGCGTGTGCTTCTGTAAACGTTCTGCTTTAGTGAGGTTGAGGAGGGAAGCAGCAACAGCGTAAACGCAATGTCATGAAGAACAACGGTCTATTTTGAACACAACGACACAAAAATAATATCTTAATTAATCATTTGTGGCAAATAAATTGTGGTAGTGTGAACTTCCATGTTACATGTCCCTCATTGATAGTTTATTGTTACCTTAAATTTAAGGTTGGTTTGAGGCCAAAATTTGATGGCTTGTCAGAAAAATAATTGTCGTTGTAATTCATCCGAACAGTTTTCACACCCGACAAAATGTTGAACATTAATTTCTAGTTAAATAAATTCAGTAAATGAAGTGTTATGCATAAATAAATAAATAATATATATATATATATATATATATATATATATATACATATATAATATTATAAAACGATCCAAAATATTACTTTAAGTCATGACCCTTCCGAATTTTCTGGCATATGGTACGAAATAAACGAACGAAACGTACGAAGGAATGACGTAGTGTCCTATAATTTTTATTTCAAAGAGGCATTGATTAAAAAGTTGGAAAAAATAAAATGAAGTTTGTGTCTATGCGTTCTATAAGAAAATCATTTCGTACACAGTAGCATTTTTCTTAACTTTTTTTATGCTTTGGGAGAGACATCACTGGTGGGTAAAGAGAGAGAAGCAAAGAAAGACAAAGGACATGAAATGAATTGTTCATCAGAACTTTTCTTTTTCTATTTCGGGTTTTTTCTAATTATCCCAATTTAATCCAATATGTGGTATTTATCCTGAGATTAAAAGTAAAGAACATTAAATCGTGTTAGAAACGCAATTGAAAAATGTAATTAAGGAGTTTAAATTGAAAACATTTATCTCTGATTTTGGTGTGAGGTTGGGGCGTTGGGCAGTGCCATAAAGGGAGTAAGGACAGGTTTTAGGTCACTTTCTTTCGATGCCTTTTGAAATTGTTCATGGTGTGTTTATTAGCCACCATCAATTGTTCTGTCCTTTTGCTTCCTTTTTCTCCAATCAAAGTAGGTTTTCTGATGGTTGCAAAGAAATTTTCAGACAGGTTAAAAAGAAAAGTTACAATGTTTCAATCGTGTCATCATCATCTTGGTTTTCCTTCTTCTTTTTTAATCAATTTCATGAGTTAAATTTATACTTGTGAAGCATGAATTGGTGCAGCCAGTTCGATCAATTCAACTGATATTAAGTGGATGAATTGGGTTGAGTTTAGAATGCATTTGATTTGATAATTGACTCAATCGAGTTGATTTTTTTTTTTTTAAATACAAATACATATTTGTGTTATTAACACTATTTAAAATACTAATTATTTAACTATGAAGATGTTTTAAAATTTGAACTACAAAATCTTATTGTCTTGAATTATATTTGTTATTTCATATATCAATAGTTTAATATGATAAAAAAAATACTGGCAATTAAGTTTAGGTTGACAAAACATCATTTCCAATTATTTTATAAACTGACACTTTCGTAAAAAACTGACATTTTATTAAAAAAAAAAAGATAAATTATAATATGTAATTTTTGGTGGGAAAACAAATCCTAAGCGAACAAACAAAAGAGAAAGTAACAAATAAGTTTAGTTTAACAAAAATATCATTTTCAAACATTTTAAAAACATAAAAAGACTAAATTAATGTTTTAGAAGATAAGTGACCAGTCTGAATAAAATTGAAAGATAAAGGATGATTTGTATTATTTAATCACATAATATCTAAAGACTATTTTAACACTAACCTAATAATAAAAAATTATGCATCTGACTTTTTCTTAAGAAATACTTCATATATAAGAAAAATGATGTCCACTTAATGTTAACCGAATAGAACTTGAACTTTGAGACATATATCCTAATATTTCATTAAAACAAAAACTAACCATGAGTTCCTTAAAAATGTCAAATGTTTAAAACTTTAACTCAACTCAACTTATTTAAATATTCAAATCTAATTGAAAGTTTGAGTTTGTGCAATTTAAACAAACGAGTAGCTTGACACATTTACACATCTAATTACAATAAATATTCTTAAAAGCAACTTCAAAATGATTAATTTTATTTAAACAAAATTGGCCTCGACTTTACAAGATAACTGTTAAAAAATAGTCATAAAATACAAATTTTATGTTCATGCAAAAAAAAAAAAACGTTTTTAAATCTAAACTATTGTTCCAAACATACAGATGGAATTACAACCAAATTTACATCTAAATATCAGCTGAAATCAACAAGAACTATCATTTCCAAGCATGCTTTATCAACCAGATCTTTTTAGTTTGTTCTAAAAAAGATGGTTTTTCCAAAACCATTTACAAAACAATTGTTAAAAACAAACAATCTACGCAGTTTCAAACAAGTTATAAGTTATCACTAACATTTGAAAACCAGCTTTGGCAGTTGTCTAGTCAAACTGCCCCCTATGTGCAACTCATACTATTACTATTTTGTAGCATGTTAAACTACTTTTTTGACAGTGGCTCAATACCACTTTTACAAAGCTCTACTCACCAAGTAGTACATAGTACAAGACAAAAAATACTAGACGTGATGAGAACAAGATTATAATCAAGTACTATCCATAAAGAGTAATCCGTAAAGTCTTGATAGACAATTTCTGTTTGAAATTCTCTCTCATAACTTCTACAAAAGAATCTAAATATCATATCCAAAACACAGGGAGATTACAGACTATATAAATGGTGATCACCTCCTCACTGGTGGTACACCCCGTCCTGGTGCAGCTCCACGACCAGCAGCTTGAGCCTACACAAGCAATATGAGAATTACATGTGTCACATGGTATGTCCTTAACCAACAGGATATCGAATAAGCAATTTTTTAAGGCTAAATTTACATTAATAAACTAATAATGAATAAAAAAAAGTGTAAGTACCTTTGCTCGCATTGCAACTGCTCTGCCCCTACCAACACCGAGTGATGCACCCTTGCCCTTCAAGAGATTCAGAAAGTATAAAACACTAAAGCACATATAAAACAATCAAGTAGTACTGTATAACTTGGAAATACTAAAATACCTTGATTCTTGCATCCAAACGCTTAAACATAGGAGCATTCTTCAGCATGTCTGGGATGACCATAAACCTGCCAAATTTTTATCCTGTCAAAGCACTATCCTTACAGAAAATGCAATCTACAAATACAACCTTATTTATGATATTAATTTTTGAAAGTTAATTGGTATACAAAATTATGAAGTCACTAAGCAACATGTGATCCATACCTGACTTTGCTTCCTCGAATAAACACATGCTCAAGTTGTGATGTTTTTCCATCCTGAAAAAGACTTGGCCAATATTAGTAACTAGTATGAATTACTGTGTCTCAACAACTTGAAACTAGATATATTAGACATCTCTACAAAATTGAAAAAAATAGCAAAATGCAATTTCATAAACTCCTCCTGTATCCAGAACCATATTTATTCCCCCACGAAATACATGGTTCAAAAAGGAGAAGTATAAAGTGTAGTGACACAAGGTTCATACTTGGAATTTTTCCTAATTAGTCACATCTGAACCCTAAATCCAAGTCAGGTCCATAATAGAGCCCAAGGACAGACCTAGCAACATATCCAAAGCAGATGTTGCCTCCATACGTCCAATGGATTCTTGCATACACAAGTGGTATACACCCTCCCTAAACCTATTGTTATTCATTCACGACATCCTTGCCCCAATCTGCATTTGTCCATACTGCATGGTCCTCTCTCAATTCAAAGAAATTCAGCAACCAAATACATAAGACTATCTGTACATTTTCCTGACTGGGTTAGATAACATGCTTATAATTTCAGTAACAATTAAAGTAAAGTAAAAGGGCAGAGTCAATTATCCCCTTCCTCAAGGGTTATGAACTTCGAAACGGTTTACCACATCCAAAATCTCAAAAGTACCTCCGTAGACGCCCCTATAAAGTTCATACTTTTACTCAAAATAACTTTGTTTCTTGCTCCCACGATTACCACCTTTCGAACGCTCAGACTTACCACTTAACCCAAATCAAACTATCCATCATAGCATAAAAACTACTTAATCCCCAATTAAAATTATAATCTCCCAACTCAAATTGACGCCATAACAAGTCTAACCCTAAAATCTGTTACAAAAAAGTAAAATAGGGAGAGAAAGAACCTTGGCAGTGTAGGTTATGCTCTCGAGTTGACAGTTCCAATTGTCCTCACATTCGATCATGCTTCCTCTGTAGAGTTCACCGCTCTTGAGCTCCACCGTCACGACGTGTCCCGATGCCTCGTGGAGAAGCTTCACCGGAATCCCCAAACTTCTGCTCATGATGGTTCTTCGCTTTCCCTCTCAGAAACAAACGCAAAAACCCTACTTCACTGAAGCACGCGATATGTGATTGTGATGGTATTCTGTTGTATTTTCTATACCCTAATTTTCCTTTACCCTCCAAGCTATTTATTTTAATACCAATTTATTTTATTCGAACGGATCCAACATTAAAGTGGGTATTAACTGTATCCGCACCCGAATCCGAACCCGGACCCGACCCCGAACCTGATTTCCCTTTTTATTTCTCCAAATGTTATAACTTCGTTCAATTGTTGAGTTTAAAATTGAAAAATATGAATATATTTTAGTTTTACCAGAAAAAAAAAATGTTAGCAAACGGGTTAAGCGGACAAAAATGTTAACAAACGGGTTAAGGCGTACAAATCACCTAAAAAGTGATAAAAAAATTAAGATAGATTAGTAATTTTAGTCCCAGTCTCATTTGATTAATCTGATTTAATCCGTTGATTAATGAATTAAAGATACAACTCATTGAACTACTTTAAAATAATATTATATATTAAAATAAAATTAAAAATTATTATAATTAAAAATATTATATTTTTTATTATATTAATAAAATTTCTTATTATATTATAATATTATAATTAAAATTATAAAAATTAATTAATTTTAATTTATTAATTATAATTAATTATTTTGATATATAAATATAATAAATTTTTATTTATTTAATAAAAATATTAATTAATAAATACAAATTTAAAATTATTAATATAATTAAAAATATATTTTAAAATAATATATATAAAAAAGTTATTGAGGTACTTGGTCATTGGGTATTCTGTCATCCTACTTGCAATGTATATATATGAAAATAATGGTTTTTTTTTAATGGGAAAACCTCAACGTAATTCAAAAGGATAAAATTCTTAAACAAACTGTTTACATATATTTATAAATTAAATTGAAACATTTATGTATCTGTTTCTGGTGGAATTTCGATCGATTTCGATTCTAAACAGTGTTATGGTCCTAATCGAAATCCTCCCACGTAAGTTCTTTTTACTTAGGCTAGCGATCGACTTTCAATCGAAAACGTGTATGAGGATCGAAAATCACAAGATATCAAGAAAGCTGTTTTTTGGTATTTTGTATTTAAAGTACTGAAAGCAGTAAAGTATCGAATCGAGAAACAGAACATTAAATTGCAAGAAAATATAAAGTGCGAAAACCCCAAATTTGCATTAATTGTAAATGACGAGGAATCGAAAATAGTGCAAATATAAATGGCAGGAAATCGAAGTGTGCAGGAAATGTAAATGGCAATAAATCGAAATTACGAGAAAAGTAAATGACAGGAAATTGAAAATACAGAAACTTAAACTTTCATTGAATTGAAATGACAAGGAATCAAAAATACAGAAACATAAAACTGCTGAATTTAAATTGTATCAAAGTAAATTACCAAGGAAAATACAGAAAGCGGTAAATGTACTCAGTGAGCAAGGAAATCCAGATTGCCAGAAGCTTCATGGTGTTCGTCGTTTCTCCGGTAGACTTTTCACTACTGATTCTGTTCTCTGCCAATTTCTGCCCCTTTGTTCCTTCCTTCTTTTCTCTATTTATAGGGCCTCCTTCAAGCCTTCCAAGAACAGTTAATCAGACTACTACCACGTTCTTTCGTGCATGACGGTTTCTTTTTCTACAGTTTCCCACGTTCTCACGATCCTCGACTCCTTCCATGGTCCCATAACTGCTTTCTATACGTGCGTTTGACTTATTCTTCTCTTTGTGGTTTGTCCAGAGTTTCGATGTCCATGTTCCCTTAGTATTCGATGATATCGAACACTTTGCATTGCTTTGGGTTTAACCTTAACATCATATGATTCTAGTTTCTTAGTTTTTTATTCGACAACAAGCATTTGGTTATCATTTACCCAATGTTCGATTGTGTCTCTCGATGTTATGTACTACGTACTTCTAATTGGACATCGAATGATTTCTTTTGTCTATCTTACCGATTTATCAATCGATCATATTTCTCGATTCCACAATAACAAAATGCCCCCTTGAAAGAATATGAATGATTTCAGTTTATATTCTTTCAATATTCCCGCCTTAATGTTTGGAAGCCTACGGAACTTAGGGTTTAGGTTTTCTGGGGTTCTAGGGTTAAAAGGGTTTTAGGTTTTCCTTTCCGTTTTACGTCGCCATCATATCAGTCTGTTGCTTTTACAGTACGCTACATTTATTACCTTTCGCGTCTGTCGTTCCAGCTCCCTAGGCGATTTTCTCCTTAACCTCTCCCTTGGTTTTTACTTTGGTCTTTTACGCGAACTTTTACCCTCTGCTTGCACCTTCATCGTCTTCCTTGAGCTGTTGTCTTCCTCCTTGCTACCTCATTCGTTAACCCTTCTCTTTCTGTTTCCCTAAGCTCATTAAGATGGCCACATCGTCAAAATCTTCTGACTTCTCCGTTCCACCCCTTTCCTCATTGCCTTCTAACCTGCTGGAGATTAACAACCAGAAGTTCGCTCCACTGCCTCTAATGGAAGAAGCTTCCCAAAAAATTGCTGAAACGCAGGTACTCGTTCCTTACACTGTTGAAGGTGTTAGTTTTGCTTTTGGGGGTCCTGTTCTTTCTGGTAGTGGAACTATTTCTCCCCTCACCCTCTCAAATAGCCCAGCTCTTGTGCACCAGCCTGAAGTTAGAATCGATTTTCTGAATCTTGTCTCTAGGGTATATCGGACAGGCCCTCCTTCCAAAAAACCTTTGTTCATGAGATGGTTTGATCGGGTCAAAGCTAAGTTTGGGAATCATTGGAGAAATGTGGGGATTTTTGATTTTTTGCACCTGTCTCAATGTGACTTATCTTATTTAGACATGGCTATGTTTTTTGCTGCCATACATTTATGGAATAAAGAAATACATGCCCTGGAATTACCTTGCGGCCCTCTCTCACCTACTCTTTTCGACGTCGCAGCCATCACTGGATTAAAACCTATAGGAGAGAGATACTTTCAGGGTGCATGTCCTTCGGATAATTCTCTGAAGTCTAAAATTGATTGGGAATCGAAGGCCTATGGTCATTTCCTTGAGAAGCATTTTATCGATGACCCTTCGATAGCTGTTACCGATGAAGAGCACGTGGCATTTTTGGTGTATTGGTTGTGCACCCATGTTTTTTGCCCTCGATCGATCCAAATTTCCCCTCATCTGTTCAACCTTGCATATCTCCTTCACCTAGGCCAACCTAGCCTATGTTTAGCCAAATTTTTGCTAGCGCATGTGTATACTGCTTTCGACGAAGCTGTCGAAATTTTGAGTACTCCTAAGGCATCAGAGAATTTTTCTGGCCCCGTTTGGTTTATACAGTTATGGTTAACTTCGATTTTTGAGAGCATCCTTCCCCCAACTTCTACCACTCCCCCAAGTATAAATATAGAAGGGGCCCGATTATCCTCTCGCCATCCTCGCCATAAGCCTGATGAGGCTGCTTATTGTAGATACCTTCACTTTTTGTTAACTAGATTCACTTTCGATTCAACCTTAGCTCCTTTTACTGTAAATCTTGGACGACTAAGTGACCAACTTAGGGGGCCGATTTGGTTTAAGTCAAAATTTCCTGCCTCAACTCCTGGGTTGCAATTAGAGTTGGTCGATATATGGAGTAGCTATTTAACTCGAGATGTACTAATATCGGGCTTCCAATCCAAAGATTTCAAGTTTATTACTTACTACCCTCAACTTTTTTCAAGACAGTTTGGTCTGAGCCAATCTTTACCCTTTTTTCCTTTAAATACTCTCCCTAAATCCAAGTTGACTGAATCGACCATCGGCCGGGAGCTTGCCAAGTTTTTGCCAAGAACCTCGATGCATCTTTACCCATATGTATTTGAATCAAATTATTTATCGACTGTGGAATTTTATCAGTGGTGGACCACTTGGTTCTCGAAAAATCATGCTGCTTTTGACGAGGTTCGACAGAAATTGACTGCTCATCCTTCTCTTGTGTTGCAGGACAAGTCGAAAGGGAAGAAAGGTACATACTTCCACTGTCTCCAAATATCTCGATTCGAGAATTTTTATCAAATATGTTATACTCCACTAAAACTAGAATCGACATTTTATGACACTGTCATTTCCTTATCCCAAAAAACAGATACCAATAGGTCGAACCACAAAATAATTAATCCCTTAGGAAAAATCCCTTTTGAAATGTATTGTCCCGATCGCCTTCCCACTTTTCCTACAGCATCTTTTGGACTCGCAAAACCTTTAACTCATCCCAAATGGGTTCGAGAATTGAGAACCCTTAAAGAAACACTTCGCCCAAAACCCAAAAACAAAGACATTTCGGTATCAAAATTGTTTTACTTTCCTTACCTTAACCTCTCCGAAGACCTCTTGCCTCCTTGGCTAGTACATATTGATCGAGTCAAAATTTTGACTCCATCACCTTTTGGTGAGGTTTTACTGTCTTTTCATATTTTTAATTCTGTATGTTAGAAGCTAACTAACTTCCATTTCTTGACAGTTTCAAAATCTACTAAGGTAGTCGCTTTCGAAAAGGCGCAAGAGAAGGAAAAAGAAAAGGACTGGGAGTCCTCCGATGAATCGGACCCCTCGGCTTTAGTCCGAAAGCGCAAATGATCGGCCACCATCTCCACATCTTCGAAGAGATCGAAGGTTCTTTTTGATTTCTTACTATTTTTCATCCATTTCTGTTTATGATTGGTTCACTTAGGATTCTTATACCTATTTTCTTCTCGATTTTCGCTATCCAGAAACAAAAATCAAGGAGTCCTCGATCGGTCCAACCACCTACCCTCGATCCATTGTCGACGGACTCCAACACAGTCCCTTCCACGGGCAAAACCACTTCCACTACTCATTCGAGTCATGTATGTTATTTTCTGTAAAATTTATATATTGATTTTGATGAAATTTATCACACGAATTTGAAATTCGACATTTCCAGGATCGTCCATCGGCGACCTTATCGACCAACGTCGATTTTGTACCTCCCTCC